TCTAACCGTGTTACTCCTTCCCTAATAAATAAATTATAAATAAGTAAATAGTATTATGTTATAAATTATAAGTTATAAATAGTGAATAGCACGCAGGCGAGGCGAGCTTGGGCCCTGGAGTCTGTGGCCAGGAGAGCGCTCGAGGGCGCTGCCCAGGCAGAGGACCCACGTCAGGGCTGGCCTCTGCTGCTCCAGCAGGACTTTGAGCAGCTCCCTTCATCACCTCAGGCCTCGGTGAGGAGGCTGCACTAGGTGGCCTGAGGTCCCTTCCAGGCCTGTGATGCTGCGACCTCCTCGGCCTCAGCGTGCTCCTATAAAATGTCAGGGTCGGACAAGACAACGGCCTCTGGGGTCCCCCATCTCTCCTCCCGTGATCCTGAGGTCAGGGGCGGCAGAGCATTGATGCCAACCATCTGGGCAGCTCCGTCCCCAAGAAAGTGGCATGCTCGCTCTGTCTGCTAAGCCTGGGTTAAAGAAGCCTTGTAGCTCATGAGAGAGGGGAATCCCAGGTTGGTGGGTCCTGGCCACGTTGGCAGGAGCCCTGCTGCCATGGAAGCTGAGGTCTTCAGGGGACACCACACACACACACACACACACACACACACACACACACACACACACACACACACACATATATACACGCATACACACACGCACGAGCACGTGCACACTCTCACGCTCCTCTCCCCAGCAGATTTCCTGGCATTAAAGTCCTTTCTCCGACCCGTCTTAAGCATTTCCGGAGAAGCGGACTTCCCGCTCAGAGTTCTGCCCTCACTGGAGGCCATCGAGCAGAAGCTCGAGTGGTCCCACATCAGGCAGGTTGTAGGGAGGGCTCTTCTGGGGGGATGGGGGGTGACCCCAGCTGGATCCCTTCCAGCTGTGAGGTGCTGTGAGTCTGGGACCTCGATCGGGGCCACGCAAGGTTGGGGAGGATGAAGTAGCTGCTGGCAGGGGCAAACGTGAGGCTCTCCACTTTCCTAGAGCCACGGGCCCCTGTCACTCAGACACATCTCTCCTCTCCTCGTTCCCCCCCAGACAGCTGAAGTGGCCCTGGCCAACCTGAAGAGCAAATACGAGAATGAGAAGGCCATGGTGACAGAGACCATGATGAAACTCCGGAATGAGCTGAAAGCCCTCAAGGAGGATGCCGCAACCTTCTCTTCACTGCGGGCCATGTTTGCCACCAGGTAACCCCCCCCCTTTGCCTTCGCTGCCCAGCCCTCAGGGGTCCTGAGGATGAGGGCCCAGGGGCCTCACTGAGCCTGCCATGCCAGGCTCATTCGAGTCACACATTGGGTGTGATGGAGAGGCCCCTGTAGCCAGGTTCCAATCCCAGCTCTGATGATGCTTTATGAGCTAAGCCTCAGTTTCCTCATCTGTAAAATGGGGACGATGGCACTTGCACCATTGAACCTCCCCGGGTAGTTCTGAGGAGATTGCTCTGTAAGTGTTAAGGCCTAAAGAGAGGTTATTTCTTTTGTTTATCAGTAAAGATAAACCAAACCATAAATAATAACAGCAGGCATGTATATACAGGGCTTTAGGGCGTGTAGTGGCTGTTATTATTATCCCATTATACAGAAGGGGGAACCGAGGCTGAGAAAGTACAAGGATTTGAAGTCTGACCCCAGTCCCTTGTGCCAGCCAAATGAAGGAGGCGGCCTGGTCAGCACGTTGTGTGGGTGAGAGAGAGAGAGAGAGAGAGAGAGAGAGAGAGAGAGAGCGCTTTAAAGCATCATCTCCTCATCAGCGAGGCAGTTCTTGTCCTGGGTCTGGAAGTCCTTGCCAGGGAAGAAATCGGCCTTTCCTTGCCTGACTTTTCTTCAAGGAGAGCCTGGTGCTCAGGCTCGCTTCCACTCCCCTGTTCTGGCCTGATATTCTAGGGTGAAATGAGGTCACCTCAGTGGGCACACCTCGGGGAATGGGCTGCCCTGCCTGCCCCCAGAGAGCTGGCCTTTTCTCTGCCGAGTAAATCTTTACTTCAACAAATGGCTGAGGCAGGTGCTGATGCCCCAGAATTTGGGGACCGCACCTGGCATCCCGCCCATGGCCTTCTCATGGGCAAACAGCTCCCTGGAGGAATGGGCCTTCCAAGCTGTAGGAAGGAAGGGAAGAAGAGAGGAGAGCTTCCTGGGATGGTACCCTTGAGCCCCGATCAGCAAGGGGCTCCCTGAGCTGCCTTGTGGCCACGGCCACTGCCCCAGCCACCCGTGGCGGGGGCTTCAGCAAGGCTGAAGGAAGGAGAGAGGCCGGGGCCTGAGTGACCAGTGGGGGTTGGCCTCATTGTCCTCCTCTTGATAACTTGGGAGCCTTGGGCCTTCTGAAGGCAATTCAGAGTGCCCCGGGAGACCAGGCATGGCAGATGGAGGGATTACATCCAGAGATTGGAGAGAGTGAGGTGGGGGGCGGGCAAGAGAAAGGGCCAGGAGAAACATTCTCACTATTTGGTGCTGTGGTGAGAGTATTTAGGGGTTTCTTTTTTTAATCCCATTCTCACGTTCTGGTTGTTGAGGCAGGTCTGAGGGGAAAGCTTTCCTGCTTGGAGTGTCGGGTGGTCCCATCGTCCATAAGCCAAGCAAGGGGAAGGGGTGGGGGGGGAGTCAGAGCTCAGAATCAGAGGAGGCCCATTCCCCTGTGATCTGCCGCAGGGAAGAAGCCTGCCCTGGGATTTCACAAGGTGCTAAAGCCCTTTAATTAGGGTTGGAATGCAGCGTGAATCTGCAGTGAGGACCGCTGCTGGTGGTGGCCTAGAAACAAGCCTCCCATGTGGGATTGCCGGCTGCCAGGTTGTGTCTCCATGCTGACAATGGCGCTGCAATGGGAAATCCTTAGTGAGTTCCTTCTAGGCCACGAAAGGACTTTCTGTAGAAACTACAGAAAAGATACAAATGGTCTTGATTGCAGCCTCCTCAGGAGGTTCTGTGAGACTCCTCTTCTTCCATCACCTGTCTCTGAGCCGTGCAGCCCGTCCAGCTCAGAGCTCGGTGCCTGTCCCTTGGCCCTCCATTGTAAGCAGGAGCTGTTTGGAGTCCAATGCTTATGAATACCTGGGAGTTTGTTTTAGAAGATGAACGTTCATGGCATTTGTTTGGATCACTGCATCCTAGACCTAAGCTGGCAGGGAGCTTAGGGATGATGGAGTCCAGAGTCAACCAGGGAGTCAGTGAGAGGAGGCTGGATTTGAACCCATCTGACTCTAGATAACCTGCCAGTGATCACACAGCTAGAAGTATTAGAACTGGGATCCATCACCCTGTGGTCTCATGGAGCGTGGGACCTGGAAGGACCTTTGGAGGCCGTTCATTTTATAAATGAAACAGCACAGCCAACAGCAGAGCCTGCTCGGATTTGGTTTCAGTGTTTTCTCACGTTCCAAGGATTAGGCCTGGTTAATGCAAAGAAATATAAGCCAGACACAGTTACGGAACTTAGGAAGTCATCGGTCTAATTTGGGACAAAAGACCCCTACGTGAGTGGTTGTATTGAAAATAGCAGTTTGAGACAGCAGGTTAAGTGGTGTCACAAAGTGGTATCCACCTGATTAATTGTTCTCTGGGTTGTCCACCCTTGACATAGACGCACATGTATGTATGCAATGGATAAATGGAAGGCATTTTTATTATCATTTTAGTTAAATTAGTTTCCAGATTGGGACTAGCAGCCTCCTTGTGGCCAGAAGCTCTTCCCAGAAACATAGTTTTTGTGAAGGATTATGAGAAGAAATCATACCCCTCTGACCTCTGAGAATAAGTAAACATTCCCTGGAAACGGTACTCTCTCAGCCAGTCCTCAGGCAGGGATAGGGCTGACACGGGCCTCTGTAGAAGTACCCATGCAGACTCGTAGGAGGGAGCACCGGCCTTGGAGTCAGAAGGCCTCATAAAACTTCAGCATCCCTCACTCTTTTCTCATCTGTAAAATGGGCATAATAGCTGACATAATTGTACTGCCTGCCTCTCTGACAGGACAGTTGTGGCAAAAGCTCTTTGTAAACTTGAAAGCATAGGGGTTCTTTGTTTTTTAAGAAATGCAAACAGAAGTGGCATTATGAATTGAGCTTTCCCAAGATTGACTTAGTAGTATGACTTTGAGGAAATTAGGGAGTGGATAGAGCACCGGGCTTGGCATCAGGAAGACCTGGGTTCCAATCCTGCCTCATTTACTAACCCCCCCGTGAGGTCTTGGACAAGTTGCTTGATGCCTCAGACCTTTCCATTCCTTCCTTCCCTAGATTTGTGGTCCTCCAATCCTGGGCAGCCCTCTCAATCTATAGCCCTCTAAGCCCTTAAAAACACTAGGTTTACATCAGAGAATAGAAACTCATGGAGACTGGCCTTGGGAAAAACCAATATATCCTAACCCTTTGTTGACCGCACTGCTGGGTTCTGTCTCCCCCTGGTGGTCATCATGGGGTTCTTGCTGTTTTAAACAGCCTGAGTCCTGGGACTGGTGGGGGTGACCTGAGGATATGTTGTGAGCAGGAAACCAGCCTAGTGTTTGTAAGGCTTCTTAACCTTAGAGCCATCCTGAAGTGTAACTGCCTCAAGGGCTGGCAGGTTCCCCTGGAAGGTCTCCAATAACAATAAGAGTGGCCAGCATTTATATTAACACTTCAAGGTTTGCAAAATGCTTTGTCTCATTCTAACCTCTCTATGACCCTGAGAGGCTACAGCTGAGGAAACTGAGGCAGGTTTAAGTTAAAAGTTAAGTGACTGGGGCTGCATTTGAACTCAGGTCTTCCTAGTTGAAAGTCCAGCACTCTATCTGCTGCACCACCTAGCTGGCTCCAAGCAGAAATTGGATGACCACTTGTCTGGGAGTTCCTTTCATATGTGGGCAGTATTAGAGGCTACTCTCAGATTCTGTGATTCACAGAACTCCAGAATCTTGGGGCTGGGAAGGCCTGCCCTTAGAAGGCATCTGTGCCCAGTGCTGGTGGCCTTTCCACCGTTAAGTGCCGGACTGGGAGGCAGAGGGCAGCCCTCACGTGCTTGCTTCCTCGTTAGCTGTGTGGGAGGGGTGTGGGGGCCTGGGCACTCCACTGGGCGCTACCTCTGAGCTGACCCTTGCGCCATCCCGCCTCTGGCTTCTCACCCGCTGAACTCCCAGAGAGTTCTCCCAGTGCGCAGCGGTGGTCATTTTGAAGGCTTCTCTCGTCCCTTGTCATTGCAGATGTGACGAGTACGTCACCCAGCTGGACGAGATGCAGCGTCAGCTCGCGGCCGCGGAGGACGAGAAGAAAACCCTGAACTCCCTGCTGCGCATGGCCATCCAGCAGAAGCTGGCCCTGACGCAGCGGCTGGAGCACCTGGAGCTCGACCATGAGCAGGCAAAGAGGGGGCGCACCAAGTCGGCCTCCAAAGGCAAGAGCAGCACCCCAAGTGTAAGTCACCTCCGGTCCTGTGCGGACAGGCCTGAGGGGGCCGTGCTCGGCAACCAGGTGTTCTGCAGTGAGAAGTATAAGATTTATTGTGACTAGGGTGGCTCTTGGGAAGCCGCATGGGATGGTATGCACATCTAACCATCTGCTGTCTCTGTTGTCTGCTTAATGCCCCACTAACATTTCAGTGATGGAGGCTGTTGCTAATTTATCCTTACCAACCGCGTCATACACGTTGCATTATGCCAGTCTTGACGATGAGTAATTCATGTGTAAGGGGGATGTCACTAGTTGCACGGTTATTGTAGTGGGGACTGAACCCCTTCCACCGTGAACATGGATGGGGGGGTCCTTTTTTTCTTTTGTATTAAAGGGAGCGTGTCCTCAAATCTGTATACGTTGGGTGGCACTAGCTGTAGTCTGTAGAGCACAAACATGACCTCCACCCCTTCCTGGGCTGTGTTAAGCACACGTCAGACTTCCCAGCCTCCTTTTCAGACAAACAGACAGGCTGGAGATGATGAGGTGGTCCCAGAAATTGTGGCAGGACAGTGTGGAAAATCAGGCATTTGTCACAGACAACGGTGTTCTGCGTTGAAAAAGAGGTTCATGACTTACCCATCAGTGGAAAGCTGGGCCACTGGCAATTACGGTCATTGGAGGGAAAGATGATTGGCTCAGCTTCCAGGAGGTGGCTGGGAGACAGGTGGAGTCTCCCAAACTTGCACATTTCATGTTATGTATTCATGTATATTATCAAAGTTATGCAATTGACCCCCCCTCGGGAATATGACATAAGGTAGTAGGGTGTCTGTCTCTTGACAGAGTGGCTCGTGGCCAGCCTTCGGTAGTCTCTTGCAGCATGTGGTATGTAGGGAAAGAAATTCTGTGTCCACAGGCCGTCCACACATGAGCTTAGCTAGGTCAGTGTGGGTAGGAATGAGTGTGAGACCTGGCCTGTTCCCTGTGTGCTTGTCCTGGCTCAGCTTTCCCCGAGCACATAGAGGAGGCAGGTTTTGTAAGTTGAGGAAGAAAGAATTCTTACACACACACACACACAGAGATTATGCAAGCAGAGCAAGCTGTAGGCCCAGGAAATTAAACCAGTTCATCTTGCTAACGCTGACTCCTGACCAAGGCTGTCAGCCCACTGGAGAACTCTGGTGACTCGGACACTTTCCAGAATTTTAAGCACTTCAGGCCAATTTCCCAAGAACCAAAACCAAACAAAAGGGCCTGTAGGATTGGTGCCTGGAGGGCTATGGAAGAGTGGAAGCTGCTGCTTCTGTGGAGGGGTCTGGAGGTTTGGTGAGGCAGAAGGAGGCACATAGTTGGGTTTTTCTTTTTCTTTTTTTTTTTTTTGTAAGTGCCTGACACCCCTACCTTCCTTTTCTATGGGGAGCCCTGTTACTTTTTTAACATCTGGAACCTGCTAAAAATGGAAATCACCGTTGTGGTTTCCAGGGCTGACATCAGGATCAGATTGGAGAAGCAGGGTTTTGTCTTGGTTTTTGTTTTTTTCCCCCCCAATAACTAAATTCTTCTTGGAAAATAACTGAGATCTGAAAAAAAGAACAAGAAAGCTCAGTATATATTCTGTCTCCTATAATAAGCGCTAATTTTCATGAATTAGGACTTTAATTTTGCTAATGAGCAGCTTATGTCATTTTAGCAGCCCATGTACTAATTCTGCTGCTGTACTGATCCCCTCTCCGTGCCCCCCTACCGCGGCCCTGTCAGCCTTTATTTTTCTCCTCCTTCCTGCATACTAGATCATTCGGCACCAGGTGGCTCCTTGCTCCAAGCTGCTGCTGGTGTTTCCCTTTGGGGCAGGAAGCTGCTCCCACGGGCACCCAGTCCCAGAGGGCCTCTGCCTCTAAGGGGAAGCCTGATGGTTCAAGGACACATGTCAGGAGATCAGATGTGCTGCCCAGGGAGGCTTTCAGAGTCCCTGAGATTCTTCTAAAAAGGGATCAGTGTTATCAGGGGACCCGAGATGGTGTGACTGTTTCCATGCTTGTCTGGTTGTCTTCAGCCTCCATCGTTTCTCAAAGTAGTCGCCAGATGTTTGGGTTTGGGTCCAGACCTGAAGTAGTCACCTGACACAGTTGTGAGAAAATGAATCCCTCCTGCCGGTGTGGCTGCACGTGTAGATGATGCTCTGTGAAAGGCTGTGGGGCTTGTCCGGTCTTTTGCTCTTTTCTCCTGGGCTTGGTGTGTGTCCAGTCTCAGCCTCTACTTACTTGGCTCTTTGCGGATTTTTAACATGGGAAATTTCTTCCGCCACCACCTACCTCCACAAGCAGGCTCCTGTCGGTTGGATTTCGGCGTTGGCTCGCATGACCCACACCTCCTGCATGTTTTTCCAGAGACCGTTTAGCTTCACTGATAAACCTTCTGATGCTTCTTCCCAGCTGGCCCCTTGCTCCTCCAGCCTCTCCATTCAGTACTTGTAAGAAATCTTTTTCAGCAAATGGCAAGCCCCAGCACAGTTCTGCCTGGCCCTCTTGGTTTCCAGTGCTTGGGCAGCTCCCCCACCTCACTCCCCTCCACCCCCAGTTCAGGGGCTGCCCTTCTAACAGACAAACACTTGGGTCCTTTCTCGCCACCCCACTAACTCGCTCTGTAGCTCTCGCAGTGCTATCAGTATTATCTATCAGTGAAGCCTCTTAATGGGATAAGGAACCTGTTTTTTCTAATATGATTTCATTTTTCCCCCCCATTTTCAGCTGTAGAGTAGTATCCGGAGACGGAATTGGCCTTCAGTGCCCTCGGTCAAATTGCAAGTTTCTTAAGCTGCTCGTGCTTGGCGGCTAAACCAGCCCAGGGAGCTCTGGTTGCCCAAAGGAACGGACGAAATCCCAAATTTCCACTCTCTCTTTTTTTCTTTTTCTCATGAATATACTACCTGCACTCATTTTCAAAATTGCATATCCTGGGCTGGAAAGAGAAAACCCATACACCTCATGGGCTGATATTGCTGCAGGAAACATTTTTTACAAGTGCTGAAGAAATGCCTTCGAACGAACAATGAGTCTACTAGAAACGTTCGGACGGGGTTGGGGGTGGGGGGACTGTTGGGGGAAGCAGTTTTTGTTGTGACCTATATTCCTTTCTTATCTGATTGTTAAACCTGTGCACTTTTGATATTTTGATATTGTATTAGCTTCCTTAATTCCTCATGTGGAAAAGATCTAGGAGAAGCAATGGCTTGTGCTCACAGTAGGTCTCCATCATGCATTTGTACTCGTTGATTTCTCCAGAGGCATGTTGCAGAACTTTGTACGCTTTTTTGGGTTGTTTTTGCTCTAGACTCTGTTTAGATGAGAGCCCCAGCTCAGGTGGGGTGGCTCTGCTAAACTGTTACGTGCTGTGCTTCAGCAGCCTTTTTAATCATGAAATGTTATGGTTTGTGTTTTAAATGACTGATTTTTAACTGCCATGTTCATTAAGAAATCCAGGGTATTCAAATTCTGGGGTTTTTTCATATTGTATTATTATTCTTAGGAATAGTTCAATGTAACAAGAAGAAAACTTGACTTTGCTCTGGTTAAAACAAAATAAAATTAAAGTGATGGAAGCAGTAGTATTACCTGCAAATTCCAGAGATTCTGGGTTGGAGGAAGTCGGGAAGCATGACTGATTAACAGAATTTTCTACAACTGTACCAGTGAAATTCCAAATTGGAATTATTTCGTTACCTCTTTGTTTGTTGTGCCAAATTGTGGTACATTTAGAAAGAAAAGTTCTAAAGTCGTCAATTATAGGGTGTTCAATTGCAACGCCTTTTTGTTATTCATTGTTGCCAGTAGTGCCTTTGCTAATTTGAGGGAGAATCCGAGGATACAGTTTAGTCTTGAAAAAAAGGAACCGGGACGAGCTGGTTGGGGATTGGGAAGACGCGGAGCAATAAATACAGACTAAGCGAGCTCATTTGGTTTTGGGAATGGGTTCCTTTATACCCCAGAGAGGCGAGAGCTTGTGCAGAATTCTGTTAGTCAGTGATACTTTACCAGGCAGATCCTGGCAGATGCAGGGCTTGAGAAAGAAAAGCAAACGCAAAACACTGAGCACACTCGGGGAACGGAAACAAGCCGTGTGAAGGAGAGAGGACGCGGCTGGTTGCAGCGCCGATGGCTGTTAGCTGTGGATATTCTGTTCGCTTCCTACGGCAGCAGCGGTGGGCGCGGTTTAACCATTAGCATTCTCTGTGAATGTGAAAGCAAGACGTTAATATCTTCTCTGGCATGTGGTATCTAATCATTGTCATGCCAGGAAACAGAAACGAAAAAGGACGTCAACAGAAGCGCCTCGGGGCTTTTGTTGAGGCTCCTGTGAATGATTGAATTGGTACTTCTGGAGGAAGAAGACATTTTTTTTCCTCAAAAAAGTACAAATTATAATAATAAATAACAATAATATGAATGGCAGGAACAAATGAGTTCTGTGTGCTGGAATAAACATTATTATTCCTAGATGTGGGGACTTCTCTATTTTCACCTTCTGTTACAGTATTGATTTATAAGAAATATTGTTGCATTTAAAATAACTTCATCTGTCTATATGTGGGTATTTATTTGAAATGATGTCTACGTACTGTATTCTGTTCTCTGTGCATTACCTTAGCGGCGGATTATTGGTCCTTATTTTAAAGTCATATGCATGTACTCCGGCCAAGGAACCTTTACACAGACCTGAAGAGGTAAAAACGTCCTCATTCTTTGGGAGAGGAGGAGAAAGAATGAGGACGAGAACTCTTACGAGTAGAATTTTCATGATTGGGTAACTCTCCGTTGTCTAGGGGTGCAAAAGTATGACTTTTAAATTAATCCCCAATATTTATAGGAAACAGCCGGCCTGTGTAAAGAGAGTCACGTTGGCAGTTATCAATAATAAAATTTTTTAAAGATTGAAATGTGTCTTTGTCCTCTTTGTGACTATGTTTTCCATGTGGAGTTCTGACCTGTAAAGACCTTTGGGTGGTGTGGTTTGGAGTATTATGAGCCTTTGCATGTGGAGATGGCCAGAGAGATTATCTAGTCCTAACCATCCATCCACCCAGCCCCATTTTCCTGATGCTTCTCTAGAAGACTTATGCCCAAGAGGTGCACAGGCTGGAAAGCAATGGGCTGAGGGTGATACCAGCAGTAAAGGGAGAACTTCCCAGTGAGCTCGCACACCCAAGGGAGGGGTAAGGAAGCCTCCAAAAGGAAAAAGAAAATCCATCAAAAAAGAGAGAGACCACCCAGGAGAACACAGGAGTAAACCAAGGCCACTCCTACCCCAGTTGCTTTTAACGTTTTATTGATGTGTTTTGCTTTTATATCAGTTGTTTGAATACAGCTAGCCCTGCTCCACCCGACCCCACATACCCTAAACTGAGCTCTCCTTTGGAGCAAAGAAAAATGACTGATATAGTGACCGCATCTGACAGTGTGTGCAACTTGCTTATCTCAGCAGAGGGTCAGAGCTGGGAAGGACCTTGGAAGCCATCTAAACCAATCCCCCTTTTCCTCACTGATGAGGACTTGGGGCCCCAAGATGGGAAGGGGCCTGCCCAAGGTTATGCAGGTGGTGAGTAGCAGAGTCAGCATTTGAACTCACATTTTCTGGCTTTGGTACTTTTTCTACTACATCATGCTTCTGCTCCCATGGTCCCTGCCAAGTTGTAAAGGCTTTAAAGTCAGTAGAGTTGCTTCTGTTTGACTGTGTTCCCATCCCTCATGCCTGGAATGCATTTCCTCCTCATCTCTTACTGCCCCAGTACCTCATGCATACACATGTGTGTATGTATGCATACACACACACACACACACACACACACACACACACACACACAGTTTCCCCCATAGAATGTAAGCTGTTTGAGGGAGGGGACTGTTGCCCCTGACGACACAGCCTCCCTCACCATCCGTTCCAGCACTGGCTGCACGTTCACTCATTCTCCTCAGCCTCTTGGTCCAGGGCGGCGAGTTGGAATATTCCCGGCTCCCCATTGCCACTTCCAGGTTCTCCCCCTTCTTCTATCTCTCAGTAAGCTCTTCCTGTGAGGTTCGTGCTCTTCATCAGCTCCACCCAATCACAATCCTCGTAGCTGTTGTCTACAGAACCCCAGGTCACTTTCCTTCCTTCCTCTATGAGTTTGCTACCTGGCTTACAAAGTTTGCTCTCCTCCCCAGTGCCTGCCCTCATCCTAGGGGACTTCAGCATGTGTAGTCATCCTCTCTCAAATACTCTAACTGCTCAGTTCCTTAGCCTGCTCACCTTCCATGAGATACTACTCCACCCCACCTCAGCCATACACAAAGATCTACCCTTGATCTTACCCTTGATCTACGCACACAGGTACCACCTCTACATTCCAGAGTTCTAAAATCCCTTACCTGCTTATAAACTTTTCACCTCTCCCTCTGCTTTCTCTTCTATAACCATACCCTTCATCCACAATGTTGACCCCTCAGTTCTCTCCCAGGTCGTTTACCCTGCACTAGCCGCTCTCTCTTCTCCCCATCTCAATCTGTTGGTAAACCGATTCAACTCTACACTGTACTCCTTGAATCACCTTATCTTCTCCCTGATTATGCCCAGTCAAGGCACAGCCTTCCATCACTCCCACCATTCACCACACAGGTGCACAGAACAAAGGTAGAGACTGGGTCTACTACAGGTTTATGTTGCTCAACCTCAGGCGGGCCCTCACTGCTGCAAGGCAATCCTGCTATATATGCCTCCCTTCTCAGTTCACTCTCATACTCTCCACAGTGGCTGTTCCAAACCTTCTCATCCCTCCTCAAACCTCACATGGCTCTCCCTCCCCCCACTCTCTCGGCTGAGAACCTTGCCTCATATTTTGCAGAAAAAAAGTTGAGGTCCTTTGTCATGAGCCCTCTCCACTCCCCTCTTCCACATCAGGATGACTGGTAGTGGCCCCTTGGCCTTTTTAAGCTAAGATCTTTCCCAAGTCTCCCTTTGTCTGAGACAACACCCATTCAGTAATAAAGGCTAGGCAAGAATTGAGGGGAAAGATGGCCTAGTTTGCCTTCACAAAAGAATCATTCTTTTAAATTAACCCAACTTCTGGAAAGCAATTGGCATTCTGTAAAGAAAGTGATTAACCCTAACCCTTTGCCCCGGAGATGCACATATACCAAAGAGATTAATGGTAAAAAGAAGGGCCCCACATAAACCAAAATGTTTATAGCAATATTTCTGTGGTAGCAAAGAAATGGAAACAAAATAGGTGTTCCACTGAGGATGTGCTGAGCAATTTGTGGTATATGAATGTAATGAAATATTACTATGCTGTAAGAAATTATTAATAAGATGAATATTGAGAAGCATAGGAAGATTTATATGAGCTGATCCAGAGTAAAGTAAGTGAAACCAAGAAAAAACGTATACAATAACTCCAACCATGTAAATGCAAAGAACAATACAATCAATAATGAATGCTTTGAAATCATGACCAAGCTGGGGCAGCTGGGTGGTGAATTGGATGGAGCACTGGCCCTGAAGTCAGGAGTGCCTGAGTTCAAATCCGGCCTCAGACACATAACACTCACTAGCCATGTGACTCTGGGCAAGTCACTTAACCCCAATTGCCTCACTAAATAAATAGGGTAAAAAAAAAAGGGAAAAAAAAAAGTCATGACCCAGCTGGGCTCCAAAGAAGAGATATGAAAAGATATCTCCTCTGCTTCTTTGCAAAGGCAAGAAACTATGGATGTGCAACATTATATACAATGCCAGACTTTTTCAATGTGTTGTTAGTTTTCCTTAACTTTCTTTTCTTTTTTCTTCTTAGCTATAAGGCTAGGGAAATGGGGAAGGATACGTTGGGAAATGTAGGTCATGTAAAAACGAAAGATATCAATCAATAAATTTATTTTTAAAACCAAAAAAAAAAACCCAAAAGAATCATTCTGGGAGGGGAATGCCCTGAGAATTTCTCTCACTCTGCACATTGACCACAAATGAACATCATCTATGTTGGTTGTAGGGCAGCTAGGTAGTGCAGTGGATAAAGCACTGGGCCTGAAGTCAGGAAGACTCATCTTCCTGAGTTCAAATCCAGCCTCAGACACTTATGAGCTGTGTGACCCTGGGCAAGTCACTGAATGATGTTTGCCTCAGTTTCCTTATCTGTAAAATGAGCTGGAGAAGGAAATGGCAAATCTCTCAGGCGACTTCTGCCACTTCACCCCCGTCTCCCGTGATGAGGTGGCCTTACTCCTGACCAAGGCTGAGTTCTCCACCTGCTCAAGTGCTCCCGTTACATCCCAGCTCTTCCAACAGATTGTGCCCCTCTGTCATCTCCACACTTTCCCTTAACTTCAGTCTGTCTCTCTCTACTGGCTCATTTCCCACTGCCTACAACATGCCCATGCCTTCCCTATCCTGGAAAAAACCCTTCATTGACCCTTCTATCTTACTTAACTATCATTCTATTTTTCTTCTGCCCTTTTTAAACTAAACTCTTCAAAAAGGTCATCTACAATTGGTCCCTATGCCTTCTCTCCTCTTAACCCCTTACAATCCAGCTTCACACCTTATCATTCCACCCAAACTGCTCCCTCCAAAGTTCCTAATGATCCAAGAGCTTTTTCTTCATCCTCCTTCTCCTTGACATCTCTTCAGCCTCTAATACTGTGACTCGCTCTTTTCTCAGTTTTCAGGTCACTTCTCCTGAATTTCCTCCAACCTCTGACTGCTCCTTCTCCATCTTCTTTGCTGGATCCTCTTCTCGATCACACTTTCTAGTTAGTTGTAGGTATCCATCAGGTTTCTGTCCCATTTTCTTGTTTTCTTCTACCCCCCTTGCCTCCATGTCCTTGTGTGTGGCATTCATTGCCTGTGTGTGGAATGGCCCATCTCAGCCTGTTGGAATCCTGCCCTTGGAGGCTGAATGGTCCAGTGACTCAGACTGCTGAGCTTGGCATCACAGGACCTGGGTTTGAAGTCTGACTCTGCTACATTTCACCTGTGCTGCCGCATGTCAATCTCTTCACCTCTCTAGAGGCCAGACAACTCATCTATAAAGTGAAAGGATCACACTAGAGGCCTCCGTGGTGCCAAGATCCTTCATGCAAGGCTGCTCAGGTCTCCTCAGGAAGCCCTCTCTCCCAGCTCTGAGAGAATGAAGCTATCCTGTGCAGATTTCTCTTCTGTTACGCATCTGTCTATACATTCATCACTTGTGGCAGTGCTGTTACAAAGTGCCCACAAGAGGGCACTGTCCCCCATCCCAGCCAGAGGATGGGAGGTAAACGAAGGTGATGTCAAACCTTTTCAATGAAAGTAAGACAGACAAAAATTAGACTGCCTGACCCATCCACATCCACCCTCTCCCTCCCACACACACACCCTATGAGATCAGCCTGAAAGGGAAGAAGGCTTAAGTATACACAGAGAAATCATCCGCACCCTTGTTCCCCAGGGGGAAGGTGTGGAGGGAGGGTGGTGAGTGTGGTCCAGCCCCAGAATCCCAAGAGGGTGTGGGAGACCGCTGTTACAGAAACTCCTCCACTAAAGCAGCTTGGGAGCACCCGGAGACTTTCACTTGCCCAGAGTCAAAAAGCTGGTGTGTGTCTGAGGGAGAGAGAGCTTGAGTCCAGCCTCTCTCATCACAAAGCCAGCTTTTTGTCTACTCTGGTACTCAGAATGACACATGAATGCATGTGTACATGTATGTGAGATTTTTAAATACATGTGTGTCTATACACATATATATGTGTGAATCACACCCCTGTGGCCATGTTTCACCTGCACATGTATACATATATACATATCCATGTTATAGACAGGTAGAGAGAGAGAGAGCATGGCCATAGGGATGGGTGTGTATGTGTGTGTTTGTATGTAACAGCATGGCCAGAGGGGTGTATGTGTGTCCAAGGGTGTGTGTAAATGCACACCCACGTAGCATGGCTTGGTAGAGAAAAACTTGTCCTTGGAGCTACTAAGACTTGGATTCAAGGCCACTATTCTGATCCTGGCTTTGTGACCCTGGGACAGTCACTTAACCGGTTAGTAGTCTTCAGTTGCAGAGGAGGCAGTGCCCTGCATGGATGGAGGGAGTTTCCCATCATGAGAGTGCTGTTCCTATCCGGGCTCCTAATGTATACAGGCTTGGGATCGCGGGAGGTCTCTTCCCATCCAAGTAAAGAGCCTCCCTTTTTTCATTTTGATCATCACTGCCATTTGGCATGAAGAAAAAAATCAATGATAAAAGGAAGCAAAGCTAGAGCACGCTCCTGGGCCTGTAACTGAAGGACCCAAGCGCTGGCTTTCGTGGGCCCCATCCTCCTGCCTCCTGTGAGCCTTTCCTAGACTCCCTACAGCTGAAGCTATCTGTACATGGAAATCCACTGGTTGGTGTTTCTGGGCCTGTGGCTTCAGGGGTGGGAAGCTCATCTGGCCTTCTGGACTGGGAGCCCAGTCACCCAGGAACATGTCAGAGCTGCCCTCCAATATGGGCCCCTTCCCTCCTCTGCCAAAGGGAATGTACATTTTAATCTCTGAAACTTATTTTTTGTTTCGTGTTCGGTTTTGTCTTTTCTTTCTTAAAGACCAGGCCTTACCCCCAGGCCAAGCCCTACTTGGCCATTGTTAGGGCCTTGATTGGCTCAGAATGAATGTAAATAGCAATTATTCTGTTTTGGCCAGAAACCCTCAGGGTCTCCCCCACCCCCACTGATTTTTCTTTTTGACCAGATAAGAGTCCATTCTCTGCCTCATTTCTTACTTAGCCTTAATCACCCACTGCATCCAAGGCCACCTCCCCTCCTCCTGATCTGTATCTCCAGGTTCCAAGGAAAAAACAAGCCCGAGCTCCCCTTCTCTACATACATAGTCTCCTCCTCATGCAGACAAGCTGATCAGCAGTTGGGACTCTAAAAAACTCATGGAAAGGCCCTTTTGTGTCTCCTAGCTCTCTTCCAGAATGTGTAAATTCCTCCAGGGAGGTACAGCCTCATGTGAACCTTCCTTCCACACAGAATCCAAACCTTCAGTGCCTTATGTCCCCCCAACCCTCCATCACACATCCCAAAAACCCTTCATCTCCTGTGGTGGTGATGCTTGGCTAGGCTCCTCATTGGGTCCTAGATGGAGAATTGAAAGGCACCTTGGATACCAGCTAGTTGCCCAGCTAGTAAGGGTCAAATGTCTGAGGCCGAATTTGAACTTGGGTCCACCTGACTCCAAGGCCGGAGCTCTATCCACTGCTCCACCTAGCTGCCCCTAGAGCAGAGGTTCTTACCTTGGGCATCAGTGAATAATCTTTTGTAAATGTGTGTGTGTGTGTGTGTGTGTGTGTGTATACACATAAAAATTTCAGTTTAATATTGTGATAATTGTCTTCCCTTTACATTTAAAACATTCCAATAAAGAATGCATGAGCTTCACCAGACTGCCACCCACAAAATAGGTTAATACCTTAGCCCAGTGCCCCCACTTTGCAGATGAAGACGTGAAGCCAAGAGAAGTTTACTAAGTGTCTGAAGTTGGACTTAAAGACAGGTCTTCCTTCCACTGAGGCACCTAGATGTATGCATTCTTGAACAACTGATAAGCATGTGGATCTTCTGGTAATACAAACCACCAATGAAAAAAGTATTATAAACAATTTTCAGTAATTTATACGGCAATCCACCAATTAAATTATGTGGTGATGAAGTACAAGAAAACCACCAGAGGCCCCTTCTTGATCTCAGCTAAGACTGGTCCCTGCCTGCCTTCACTGGAGGACATGCTGGTTGCTGATCACCTGATGGAGGTCAATTTGCTAGGTCCCTCCACTTTTGAGGGAGACCCACTCCAGCTGGGGAAAGGGTACATTGTCATGAATCCACTAGGAAAGAAAATTATTGGCACCTCTAAGACCTGGGCCAGTGGCTTGTTCTTAAAAAAGAACATGAATGCAAGATTGTTTGCATGGACTGATTAATAAAGTTTGATTGCATGCACGCACACACACACACACACACACACACACACACACACACACACACACACACGCACACACAAACACACACGCACACACAAACCCACAACCATTTTCCTGCCTTCAGTTGCAGCAAGTACACACAATGGTTTGTCACAGTGCTTGTCAAAAGCCCTTCCCGGGACTGCTCCACTGGTGCAGCCTTCACTGGCCCAGGGTCACCCGCCATGCTGTGATGAAGCTCTGAGGAAAGGTTTTGAATTAATCATTTCACAGAACTTGGTGAAAGATACTACAAATAGGGAAGAGAGAACTAGGGCTGGAAGGAACCACCCTCACTTTACACTTTAGGAAACTGAGGCCCAGGTTAGGTGTTTGGGTTTGTCTTTGAATTGGCTTCCACTTCCTAGACAAGTTTCTCCTCACTGATCAAAGCCAGGAGGGAGAAAAGGTTCGTTCCATTCTCTGCCAATTCCAAATCACATAAAAAGAGAAACGTTGAAATTGTTGCCCTCAGCTCTGAGAAAAGAACGTGAGGTTGACTGTGCCCTCCTCCTTTTCTGAGGCTTTGGCCAAGCCTACTCAGCTCCCTAATGCACAGTCCCCTCTGACCCAGTGGGAGAGATGGATTTGGTGGAGCGGGTTTGATTGGCCAAGAGAGGGGGACAGTCTGGTTTCTGGGAAGCCTCCAAATAAGGTGCCAGCCCCGGGCCAGATGTGCTAAAGCTGGCAGCTGGAAGAAGAGCAAAAGGAAGTAGGCAGCAAAGGACAAGTCTTTACTCAGAATTCTTCCATTTCTTTCCAGCCAAATAAAGATTTTATTCGTGCTCCTCATTGTTATGTTTGTCCTGCAACAGATGAACACTAAGCAATTAGGAGCTTAGCTCTTGTATCTTATACACTAATTTTGCTCTTATTCTGTGGATGTACGTGTTTTCACTCCCCAGAGATTGTAAACGCCTCAGAGGCAGGGAATATATTTCACTCTTGTCTTGTATCCCCAGTGCCTACATAGAGTCATGCTTAGTAAGTAGTGTTTGTGATGGATACAAAATGACGTCGGCTGGCAACATTTTCTCAAAACATTTTTAATAATTATTTTTAATCGATCCTCAGTAGAAACAAAAGTTACTTAAATGTATCTAAAGGTACAGGAATGTTTCTTTCTCTCTTCCCTTCTCCTTGTTTTGGTCTGGAATCTCCAACAGGCATCTTAGGCTTGAGACAAGGCCGCCTTGACAGCCTGCACAATGGCGTCCTTGTCGATGCCAAACATCTTCAGCAGCTCCGCCGGCTTCCCGCTTCTCGGGACGTTAGAGACTGCCAAGCGAGAGACGGTGATGCCAGGCTCACCCACCAGGGCAGCAGCCACAGCCTCTCCTATGCCACCTGCGGAGAATGGAAGGAGCAGAGATGGGAGGGACTGAGCCAGGTCAGCAAGTGGGCACGGGGGCTTGTTATGTTCCTTAACATTTCCTTCTCTCTCTGGAAGGGGACAGAGCTGTAGGCAGGGAAAGTGACTGAGCTAAGGCACAAACAAGGGAAAGAACAGATGTGGCGCCTAAGGACCTGGGTCACTTAGGAACTTGGAAGGCTCTCTGGGCTTCCATTTTCTTCTTTGTAAAATGAGGGTGTGAGACTAGGGAGCCCCAGATTCCTGCCAACTCTGTCTGTAAGCCTAGGATCAATAAGTGATTGAGTACCATCTGGTTTCTACCTGGCAATTCCCAGGCCCCAAATGGAACCTATCTTAATGGTATCTCCCACTTAAAAAGCAAATCCATTACCAACTGGGAGTACTTTGGGGGGATCCCTCTAAGCAAGGGGTAATTAGGAGTGGGCTGAAAGCAGGAGGGGCAAGGACCCCCAATTCTGTCCATTTCCAAAGCCCTCAGCCCTGCCCCCTGAGAACCCCGACCTTACCCTCATAGTAATGGTCTTCCACAGTCAGGACGCGGCCATGGGTCGCTCGGGCACTGTCAAGGATGAGCTTCTTATCCAAGGGCTTAATTGTAAAGGGATCAAGCACCCGGATGTTGATCTTTTCTGGAAGCAGAAGGCACAAGCAGGTGAATTTGGGGGGGGGGCAGCTGTGGCATTCAGTGCCCCCCCAGTCCAATCAGCATTTCCTGGAGTCCAGCAAGTTAATTGAACTGGCATTTCTAGAATATCTCCTGTCTGCCTTGATAGAACAGTCAAGGTCTGAAAGAGGCTACATCCTTAGGGCCTAGCAAAGTGCCTGGCACACAGGAGAAGCTTAATAAATGCTGGAAGGTCCTGAGAGTACAACCATGGGGAATATTGCTTAATGAAACGAACCTTTTCTCCTTCCTGGCTTTGATCAGTGAGGAGAAACTTGTCTAAGAAGGGGAAGCCAATTCAAAGACAAATCCCTTAAATAATCCCTTAATTTCCAGTGATAAAATATTGGACTTGAAAGTCCCAAGTTCAAATCCTGCCTTAGATACCTAGTAGCTATATGACCTGGGCAGGTCTCTCGGCCTCAAGTTTCCTCATTTGTAAAATGGGGATAATAGCACCTGGCTCAAAAAGTCTGTGAGATCAAATGAGATTCTATCTATAAAGCGCCCTTCTTCATATTCCCAGCGTGCACAGTGCCCCAAACATAGGTGATAAACAATTTTACAAATTAATACATTTCTTCTTCATTAGAATTCATAAATGGAGGGGGTCCAGGCCCTTTATATACCCTCATAGCCAGACTCAATGTCACATGACTCTGCCTACCCTTCACCAGTCGGTTGGGAGATCAGCTGAGACACAGGAGGAGGGCTCTCCCTTCGTCCTGTGTACTTCCCCAGACAAAAATATAAGCTCCCTGGCTAGATGTGGACTAGTCTGAAAAGCCCTGTTTCCTGACCCTGGCATGAGGGCAGAGGTCTAAGCAAGTATTCAACGTTAGCCACTGACTTACTGTGTGGCCCTGGATGGGTCACGGCTTCCCCTCCTATAAAACAGTAATAACCTGGGTTCAAGTCAGCTTCTGACACCCACTGACCAGTGAGGCCATGGAGGATCTCTTTTCACCAGTGAAGCCATGGAGTCTCAGGCTAAGGGCTAGTATAGAGCTGCTGGTGAGTGGAGTGTATCCCAGGTCTTCTGCCTCCAAATTCTGTGGGATTTCTTCTGCTAGTTTTCTATAAATCCAAATGAGCTAATGTATGCTAACACACAGCCGTCATTCATCACCATCACCCAGGCCTCTGCATGGATCTGCTTGACCACAGCAGAGGATGGCACCAACTGTCACCTTCCGTGTTCTGGCCTGGCCTGGTTTTTCTGGCTGGGACTATCAATGCTCCTGGCTTATGTCAAGCTCAAATCTAGCTTCCCAAAGCTTAACTTGTCTTTTCCAAGATCAGTCCTCATTTCCAGCACCTGCCAAATTGTAGTAGGGGACATGAGCTTTCTCCCAGATGCCTTCAAAGTCTGGCATCTTCCCATGACTGGGTAGTGTTAGTCATCCAGGCCCTTTGCTTGTACTGCCTTGCCTTGGGAGCTACTCATGTCTTTCCTACCCAGCTGTAGGACCCTAGCTTCTTCCTTCCCATAGGCTGAAGCCAGAGAATGGCTTCAGAGGGACCCAGTGGGACAGTCAATCTCACCTTTCTTCAGCTGCTCTGCAGCTGCCAAGGCTTCGTGAAGGGTTACTCCAGCTCCAATCACAGTCACCTGGTCATCCTTGCTCTTCAGGACCACCTGGGAAGGAGGACAATGCCAGGACCAGAATGAGCAGTAGGTTTGGGGTACATTTGTTACTAGGTGATTGAATGTCCAGCTGCCTGTCTGAGAACTGAGGCCAGATTGATTATTCAGGAAGAAAGCAACCAGGGCAGTGTAGTTATAGCATATCCACTCCTCCCCACACCAAGTTAGGGCAGAGACTCAATACTCACCTTAGCTTGGCCAACCTGGAAGTTTTCATTGTTGTTGTAAATGACTGCATTATCTGGGCGACTGGTTCTTATAAAACAGATGCCCTGGATTGGAAACAAAGAAAACCTTTGTCACAAAATAGGATCAGACTCAGAGGTAGGATACCTGGCCTCTGGTCCTTACTATCTATGTGGCTCTGAGCCTGTGGCTTCCTCATCTGCAAAAACAGGGACTTAAACTACTAATGGTAAGATCTCTTCAGCTCTGCCTGGTCATAGATAGCATTCCCTTTGATCTGCTTAATTCCAACACATCCTTTAACAGTGAACTTCCTTTGGAAAGCCTAGACTGATCTTCTGCCCTGGACCTTCATGGAGTGCTGGCATTCAAGGCCCTCGACAAGACTGGAAAGGTGACGAAATATTCAGATCTACTCATAGGATCCCAGATTTCCAGCTGAAAGGGAGGTCTGAACTTCTCGGATGAGGAAACAGACACAGAGAAATTAAGTGACTGAGGCAGGATCCAAACCCAGGTCTTCCAGACCCCAAGGGCAGCAACCCACTCTAGCCCACTGCCTCATACATTACGCACTCGCCTTCATGAACGCCAAACTCTCACCCAACTGGGCTCCTCGGCGTTTCCCCCACCTGTTGCTTTTCTGTCTTGCTTCCTGGCAATTCCTTTTTCTCCTCTTCCTGTGAATCCCTCCCCATCCTAATTTAAATCAGAGATTCAAAACCTGGGGGCCATGAACTTATTTAAAAAAACCAACATTTTGATCATGGTATTTCAACTCCCACTTTTGTCATCCTGTTTAATTCACTTGGGGCATTTGAAGGCACTGTTCTAAGAAGGAAGGGCCCCTTAGGTGTTACCTCAATGTCAAAGGGACCTCCTTCTTTAAAGCGCAGTTCAGAGCCCACCTCCTCCAACGTGCCTCCCTTGATGCCCCTGCTCGCTAATGGCTTTTCCCTTCTCTATAGCATGCTATTATGTAAAGCTTGTGTTTAGGATTCGAGAGGCTTAGATCCGGTGTCTCCCTCACTCCCCTCTTCACTACACTACAAGCTCCGCGTAGACAGCTGCTTTGTCTTTTATTTCTTGCAGCACCTAGCATGTGTTCTGTACACAGTAAGTGCTTTTAATAAATCTGTTAAACCAAATCTCCAAAGTGAGATGAAGAATCCACTCACTGGAAATAAAGGAAGAGAGTAAGTTAGCCCCCAAGGGGGGACATTTTAACCGGAACCAGCTCCCAGTGCTTAAAGGCAATGGGCTAGGCTAGATTAGTCATATATATATATATATATATATATATATATATATACACACACACACACACACATATATGTATATACATGTATATACATATATATGTATATATGTATATATGTGTATATACATATATATGTATATATGTATATATGTATATATGTATATATGTATATATGTATATATGTATATATGTATATATGTGTATATATGTGTATATACATATATTATGTATATATGTATATATGTGTATATATGTGTATATACATATATATGTATATATGTATATATGTGTATATATGTATGTATAAGTGGTTAAGCACCTACTATGTGCCAGGCATTGTGCTAGGTACTTGGGATAAATAAAGTAGCTCCTGTTGCCCTCCAGGAACTTCTATTCTACTGGGGAAGACACACATATCTCGGTCATCCCTGGAGACCATTTCTGAGTCTACCAGTCTGCTGTCCTTTCCCCTTTGGATGGCCACCCACTCTACAGAACCAGAGGGCCTTGAAAGATCCATTGCCCCCTGCATTCAGAGATGACCAGGGTAGCGCCCAGAGATCTCCAGGGAGAGAAAGGCCTCGACCTGTCTGGGAATTCAGATGGCTCCAAGGTGTGTGATTCCGCACCTCTTGTGCAGTTCAATTCTCTCCAAGCTCTGAGGCCAAACTTTGCCGAGTGCTCCATTTCAGAAGAATAACTCTTCGGAAACTTCCGTGTCCAACTGATGACCTTCCCTTCTGCTCTGGTAAATAAACAAACAAATACAGCCCATAGATAACCAACCTTTGTGTTAGCAGCTAACTCCACTGCTTTCTCAGTAGCTACGGCATCACTTGGGTAAAAGATTGTCCCATTGGGAATGCTCCGGAACATGGCAAGATCTTCAAGGGCCATCTGAGAAGGACCATCTTCACCTGCAGAGGAAAGGAAATGTCCAGAAAGCCAGAAAAGCCTTGGTTTCCAAGGAGCAGTCATTTTCGACAGTCCCATTTGCCTCCCAACGAGGGACTGCTGCACTCTCTGCATTTCTACCCTCCGTACCAAGCCTAGGAGGCCACGCTGACTGACTGGTGGAGATATTTGATTCCCTTTTTCCTTACCCCTCCAATCCGAATTAGTGCTAGTGCCCATCAATCCTACCCACAATCCTTCTCACCTCTTGTCACCTTTCCACCCACATGGCTGTCCTCATCCCTCTCTACTCCATCATCTACAGTTGCCAAAATGATTCTCCTGGGGCATGGGTCTGTGTGACCACATCACTCACCCCACTGCATATGCTGGGAGATGTAATCACTGAGTTTTAAAGGCTGTTTTGGGTTGGCATTTTTAAACCAGATATGCCTTTTTTTGGTGAGAAAAGTCCCTCTACCAAAGCACATCAGCAACACCTGCCCTGCAGCCTCTAGAGAGTTGGCCATGGCACTGAGAGGGGAGGTAACTTGTCCCCAGTCACACGCACGGCTTACCGATGGACACTCCACAGTGTGAGCCACACAGGTTGATACTGCTCTCAGAAATGGCTGCCATACGGATCTGGTCGAAGGCCCTGGTGAAGAAGGCGGCAAACGTGCTGCAGAAAGGCACAGTCCTGTCCCGGGTGGCACACCCCACGGCGATGCTCACCTGAGAAGGAAAGGGAATGGAGGATCATCCATTGTCCCATCCCGGTCTACCTGGAGGGCATTTCAGAGCCCACCCCCTCCTTATCTAGTTGTCCTACAAGTAATGATGCAGGAAGTAAAGGCTTTGACCGCCGTGTGCTCTTTCCACTGTACCGTACTCCCCAGCATGGGTAAGAGAGGGCCAGGTCTATCAGCAAACTCCCTTTCCCATGGGGATGACTTCTCCAGGGAACCTATAGCTTCAATTCGCCTGGGAACAGCAGGAGAGGAGAAAGGGGCTTCCTGGGGGCTATCCACTGACACAAGTTCTCAAGTCTTTGGATTGTCCAAGCCCCAGCCGCAGGCCCAGGCCCAAGCTGGCAAGATGCCCGAATGACCTCATTTGTCTGAGGTCATTTCTTTCTACAAATCCCAACCTACAAAACCTTACCAATGAACGAGTCCCTGCCCTGCTTGCTGCTGAGAGTCCACTTCTGATCCCTACACTCAAAGCTAAGAGGAATCCCAGAAGTCATGCAGTTCAACTCCTTCTTGCAGATGAGGAAATGGATGCCCAGAAAGGCTCGAGTGATTTGCCTGAGGTCACACAGCTAGTAAGTGGCAGGCGGGATTCAACCCCTGACTTCAATCTCCAAAATTTACTACAACTCCCAAATCATTGGGGTTGTGCAAAGGGCTAAACCATGAAGTTGTATTCTTCATTGGAGAAGAGGCTAGGCTCGTGTGGGAAGCTATAAAGGTATATGGCCACGTCAACTAGTATTTGATTAGCAACACATCCTGCTGTGTGCCAGGTACCAGCAACATGTCCTACTGTGCGTCAGGTACTGTGCTGGATTGGGCAAAATGGCCTGACCGCCTCAACCCTGAGTGTCTGTGAAATGTTCACTTTGGGGGAAAAAAAAAACTTTTATACTTAGGAAAGTTTTATACAAGGTCCCCTCACAAGCCATTACAAGTTACCTAATTGAACTTTTAAAAAATAGAAGCAGTCATGTGCACATACATATAATACACACATATACATGCATGAATATATGTGCCCCCATACATGCAAACACATGTTTCCTATGTAGTTCAAATCCTGGTTTTGCCACTTACCACAGTCTGGCTGCTTCTCTCCCTCCGACCTCATTCACTTACCCTGTGCTCTCCCTCACCTCCACCCATTCCTCAGTTTCCAGACCTTCTGACTGTGGCCCAAGATCCTCCCCAAGCCCTTGCCTCCCAGAGCAATCTTGGGCTCCTTGACTATCCTCAGCTCTCCCCCAGACCTACCATGTTCTGTTCAGCGATGAAACACTCAATGAAGCGATCAGGATGCTCCTTCTTAAAGAGTTCTGAAAAGGTGGAATTCTTGGTGTCCCCATCCAGGGCAATCACACGGTCACTGGCATTCCCCAGTTTGGCCAGCGCCATGCCATAGGCTTTGCGGGTGGCGAGCTGGTAGGAGGGAAAGAATCCACACTGGTTATTGTCATCCCGCATGGGGAATGTTCTAGTCACTATTGGATCTGTGTGCACGGACACCTTCCTTGGGTAACAGAAGACTGTAAAACAAGATGAAAAGTAATGCCAGTCCTCATTTCTCTATCTTGCCTACAAGGAAAGTGGGAGATAGGACTGCTTCTTTGGGGGAGCACCAAAATACACTCTCATGTACCTTTTACCTTTATGTCCCTCAGGAGGGGTAGATGACAGCAGGGACAGTTGTCTCCATTGGACATGAGAGAGGTAGATCTCAACTTGTCTGTGTTGAGTCTTATCCTCTGCCAGACTCAGGGCTTCTGTCTAACATTTGTCTCTCCCCCAAGTACCTAGCTTGGTGCTCGTGGCCCTGTTACTGTTCATTCTTCAATTGTGGGTGGAAAAGCAGCTACGTTATTCTTCCAAGACTGTAGCTTAATTGTCCTAGGAGAATGAAAGCTCCCTCTGGGCAAAGACTGTTTTAGCTTTCTCCAGCTCATCTAGAATCAGAGCTTTATCAATGTTTGTGGGGACCCCCCCACACACTTGGCAGGTGTGCCATACCACTCTAGCTCTAGAGGTGAATGTGCACAATTTGGACTATGTATTCTCTCCCATGAAGGAGGCTACCCCTTATACCTTGTCTCCCAGCTTGAAATTTGGAGGAGATGGCATCCGGATGTTGGTGATATTAACTGTGGGGGCATCCTCTTTGGGGAGGGTAGCTAGAATCTTCTTCTTGCTTTGGATTTGGCTGTATATTTCCTCGATGACCTGCTCTGCCATGTTTTTGGGAAGGGGCTTCCCATGCCAAGCTTCCTTATCTTCCACACCTGTGGTTGAGGAACAGAATAATAAGAGTGAGACTGAGGTTCACCGAAGGACACTGGAGGATGAGGGCAGGGCTGTCTGCAACCACAGAGCTCACATAAGCTAAGCTAAGTGAGCAGCTTGGTATACTAGAAAAAGCATAGGGACTGGACATGCGGGGCCTCAGCTCTGCTCTCACTAGCTGTGTGACCCTGGGTAAGTCATTAATCTGAGTTCCAGTTTCTTATCTGTACTATGGAGGCATTTACTTGTACCTCCTTTCACAGAGTTTTTGCCAGAAATGTGCTTTGTGTTGTAAAAGGTCACAGAAATGTGGGGGCATGTCATCATCATCAAAACCATTTATTGACTGTTTCACTATATGACCCCAGAGCCTGGAATACAACAAGTGTGAAAGAGGAAGGGAAGGGAAGGGAAAGGAAGGGAAGGGAAGGGAAGGGAAGGGGGAAGGGAGGGAGGGAGGGAGGGGAGGGGGAGGGGAGGGGAAGGAAGGGAAGGGAAGGGAAGGGAGGGAAGGGAAGGGAAGGAAGGGAAGGAAGGGAAGGGAAGGGAAGGGAAGGGAAGGGAAGGGAAGGGCAGGGCAGGGCAGGGCAGGGCAGGGCAGGGAGGGGAGGGGAGGGAGAGGGCAGGCAAGGGCAGGGAAGGGAAGGGAAGGGAAGGGAAGGAAGGAAGGGAAGGGAAGGGAAGAAGGGAAGGAAGGAAGGGAAGGGAAGGGAAGGGAAGGGAAGGAAGGGAAGGGAAGGAAGGGAAGGGAAGGGAAGGGAAGGAAGGGAAGGGAAGGGAACGGAGGGGAGGAGGGAAGGGAAGGGAAGGAAGGGAAGGGAAGGGAAGGGAAGGGAAGAAGGAAGGGAGACTTTGACAAGTTCACATGGAGAAACTAGCTCATGATACAATCCATCACCAAATCAGTGCACAGCACAGGGCTAGGTGTGGGGACGTAGAAGACAAAAATGAATTATTCCCGTGGGACCAGGAAAGGCTTCATGTAGAAGATGACACATGAACCAAGCCTAGAACCAGAGACTCTGAGAGAATGTGTTCCAGGCATGGGAGACCCCCTGTGCAAAGACCCAGAGGTGAGAGATGGATGTCTGTCGAATATATGCTATTCCAGGAGTTCAGCAGAGACAAATCAATGTGGATTTTTTTTTTGGGGGGGGTACAGTAATCAGGAAAGCTTCCTGGATGAGAAAACCAGTCACTTCAACCCTTCCTCCACCACCCCATGCTTCACACTGGCCATGAATTCCTATTAACATTTGTCATCAGTCTCTTCCACCCTCTCTCTTCCCCTTGACGGGGGCCTAATCTCTTTTTGCTAAGACTTCAGTAAGGCCTTCCTTTCTTGCCTCCTCCATCTCCCTGGCCAAGCTATCCCTCACACCTTCCACTCCTATCATGCCCCCAGGCAACTAACTCACCAAGCCCAAATTGCAGGGAAAGTTCTATCTGAATTGATAAAGGTTGTTTATTCACTTGGGAGTTCCCACATCAGTGAAATCACTAGGCCTCTCCCAGTCCTTATCTGCTAAAACACTAATGAGGTGCTTGAAATGTAGTAGCAAAATTTCTGTGGATGAACAAAGGGACAAGGAGAAATAAGGAAAAAAAAAAGGCAGCCTTGTACCCTGAGGTCTCAAACTGTTTGACCCTGGTTAAGTTATTCCAAGTTGTTTGTTGGGGCAACTAGGTGGCTCAGTGGATAGAGGGCTGGCCCTGGAGTCAGGAGGACCTGAGTTCAAATCCAGCCTCAGATACATAACACTCACTAGCTGTGTGACTCTGGGCAGGTCACTTAACCCCAATTGCCTCATTTGAAAAAAAAAACCCAACAAAGTTGTTTGTTTCAAAGCCATATGACATTAGTTTGTTTTTCACAGGTAAACAGATTAAGCTGGAAGTTATCAAAGACCATTTTACAGATGAGGAAATTGAGGTCTAGGGTGGATGTGACTTGCCCAAGGTCACACAGGTAATGCATGACAGAGCTGAGATTTGAACCCACGCCCTGACTCCAAATTCAGGCCTCCTTCTACTAGATTGCTTCTTAGATCACTGGGAAAAACAAGATAATCCAAAATGAGGGCCCAAAGCACACAGACTCATGTTTGCTAAATCCTAGATGGCAGAAAATTAGGGAAGAGATTAAGAAAATTAGATCCTGTGTGAGATGGGATCTGGTCCACACAATACCATGCACCACATCAGATCAATTACAGAGTTTAAAATCACTTTTAAAAATTAGGAAGGACAGTGAGGCTGCAGTTGTAGAAGTGGTAACAAGGAGCAGCCTCAGGCCAGGAGACTCCCTATCATCAGAGGATTTTAAACTATGGGATTGAGACCCATCATCCATGCTTCTCCTTGACAGGAAACTGGCACCCAGGCAGGTGACTTGCTCAGGTCCTCCAACTCCCGGCACCCCTCCCCAGAGCAGGCTGTGGGGCAGCTCCCTGCCTCCTGCCCCCAGCTCCCACAACTGGACAGCTTCCCAAAAGGCCTTTGGCAAAGCAGGTTGTGAGGACACAGCTTCCTTGAAGGGGCATTTCCTTCCTAATCAAAGATGGAAAACAAATGCTTCTCCCAGTGTTTCGTTGGCCCGGCAAGTGATGCTGGCCCAGAGAACCAGCCCAGGGCTGAATGGGCAAAGCCGGGCCCCAGGAAGTCGGGTGGCCTGGGAAGCTCAGAAGGTACTGGTTCCCTGGGGAAGGCCTGGAAAGCCTCAGGAATTTATCAAAGAACAGAGCTGAGCAAGGGTTTTGAGGCTGGCACCCCACTGACCCTGCCTCCATTCAGCCCAAGTCCCTGGGAAAATAGGCGGTGTCTCCAAAATATCGTAAATCAAGGGGAAATGCCGAGTCTGCAGACTAAGCATTTACATTCTGGTACATGAAAATTGTGCATCTGAACTCGTGGACAAAAATCAATTTGCTTGTAAAAATAATGAAGGGAGTGGCATTTTGTTGGTGTCACGGACCCTGCTGAGGGATGCTGCCTCCAAAAGGGGCACCTGGCTTTCTACGCGCTGGCGTGGAGGTAAGGAGGAAGATGCATTTGCCCAGAGGCAGACTGAGCGGATCAATGGGTCTCTAACCTGGACAAAGAAAGGAAAGGAAGCAAGTACCCAGATGAAGCTGCTAACCCAGAAAACCCAGAGAGCAGTGGGCATGGCCCGAGGGGGCCAGCCATGGAGCCGGCCACAAGTTCACAGAAGAGCCGAAGTGAGACTCATGATCTGCACTGTTGAGACAAGTTTGAGCAGAGCGGAAGGGCTTAACACAAGGAGGTAACTGTGACCTGTCACTGCTAATGACAATGACAAGAACTAGCACCCTTATTGTACGTGTATTATCCAATTTGATCCTCTTAGCAACCCTATGAAGTAGGGGCTCTTAGTGTCCACATTTTACAGATAAGGAGAACTGAGGCTCTGAAAGAAGGAAGTGTCTGAGACAGGATTTGAACTCGGGTCTTCCTGATAACACATCCAGCATTCCATCCACTATATCACCTAGCTGTCTTAGTATCACTAAGATTTGTTGGGATCCAAGTTATGGTAAAAATAAAGCAATGGATGGATACTCCTTGTTCAGATGGAATGTCTTATAAGAGATAGTGGGTATGCCCAGCAAATCTAAGAGATGCTACATTGAGGAAATCCGTGAACCTAAAGAGGGAACCATAATGGAGCCCATCTGAAAAAGGAGGGCCAGACAGAAGAAGCAAGATCATGGCAAGATTATGCTGCCGATGACCAGCCAGGAGGAAGAAATGATTCAATTATCTAGGTCTATTGCAGCTCTTTCTGACCATCTGAGAGTCTTGACTTTCAAAATGTCATCCAACCCTTTCATTTTGCAGAAGTAAAAACAAGCCTAGAGGGTGTAATGACAACCAGTGTCCCACAGCTGGTTAGTGATGAGTTCAGACTAAAACCCTAGGTGTCCTGGTGCCCAGCTAAGTGCCATGATGACTACCAGAAACTGTATATGGGGGTGGGGTGAGGAAGGGCAGTGTGTGTGCACACATACATGCATGTGAGGATGTGTGCGTTCACAGTCTGGGCCATGACTGATGGGAACAACCACTTGTGTCTTATCTCTTGAACTAGCCTACAAGTTCCCTGGGGGCATCTTCTATGTCCCACTCACTGTTCTGTAAAACTGATCAAGAAAGGATCTCTGCCCACCCAGAGGAACCTTGGCTCCCCAGAGAGTCCCAGAGGGAGGAAACCACCGGCACAGGGGAAGGAGTTGTCCCTCACCTGAGATTCCTCTGCCCTTATATGTCTTTGCAATGACAGCCAGTGGCTTATGCTTGCCCTGGTCGAAGACCTTGCAGAGTTCTTCCACACTGTGTCCATCCACAACGATGACATCCACCTATAAGAGCACAGAGAGAGCAGACACATGATACAAAAAGAAGCAGGAAGTCTGGCCAAGTCATGGACGATGACAGAAACTGGAAGAAAGATGCTTCTTCCCTGCCTGCAACTTACAAGCACTGTCTTCACAAGGTGCCATTTTTATGTATCGGGTTTGTATTAAGTCAAGGCACCTCTGAATAGGTTTCAGTGACAAAAGGATCCTTCATTTTGTTCCACTGAGGATCAGTAAGCACCTGACCAAATATTCATTCTCATAACAACCCCAAGAGGCACTCAGACCTCCCCAACACACATCAGTGAAGTGTAACCTCAGACAATGGGCTCTGTCAGGGCCTGGGTCTCATCCTTCTGGTCCATCCTCCTTAGTCTAGACTCTCTGAGGGTCCAGAGTAGGAATGGAAGACCCAGAGAGGCCGGCAGTCAGATAGATAATAATAACAGCAACACCAGTACCTGGACACTTTCTCCACAATAGTTATGGGAAGGAGGCCATTCAGGCATTCTTATCATTATCATTATTTTACAGATGAGAAAAACGAGGTTTGGGAAAGTGACATGACCTGCCCTGCTTGATTCTCTGCTTCATGCCCTTGGTGGCCAAGCATGAAAGAGGGAAGGGGGGAGCATTGAAACATCCTATTTCCCAGCCCCAGAGCACTTTATCCCCTCAGGAAGAAGTCAGCAAATTATAGTCTCTGAGGGGGAGGATCTGCCTGTTTTCTAAGTGCCCATCCCTCCTAAAATTCATCCTGAATACCACTTTTGCTCTTTGCTGCATTTGACATGAAGGCAAGAGACTTTTAGTTCTAGAAATGTGACTCAGAGAGCCCCCCACATCCCCAGCAGATGACCTCCACACACCCAAAGGATTCACATCGTTTCTGGTACACTTCCATGTGGTGCTGCAGTGGGGCAGGGTCGCTCTGGCCCAGCCGGTTAACGTCAAAGATGGCAACCAGGTTGTCCAACTTGTAGAATCCTGCAAAGGCCATGGCCTCCCACACGGAGCCTTCAGATACCTCCCCATCACCCAGCAAACAATAGACACGGTAGCTGAAAAACAAAAGGATGCATCCATCATGGGCCAGTGTCCACAAAGGAGAAATGGAAAAGAGCAAAGGAGGGTATGGATTCCTTTGCCAGGTCAACATACTGCCTCATTGTTCTGATGCAGAGCCAGGCTCCCCCAGGTGGGACTGAGCTTTGGCATAGTAAGGGACAGAGTCAGAAGGGAGCTCAGGGTTCACCCAGCATGAACCGTCATTCTGCAGGAGGAATCGATCGCCTCCAAGGTGGTATTGCTGTCACTTTTTTACAAAGGAGGCTCAGAGAAGGCAGTGATTTGCTCAGTGACCTCTGGGCAAGGGTTAGGCATAGGCCAGGTGAATCCTGGTCTTCCTGACTCTATCCACTCCACCCCGATCATTCTTTACACTCTGTCTCGTCTTCCTGGGCACAATCCCACCCCACAGCACAGCCATTTTTTTTTAATATTCTTTCCTTTATTACGATAATGAACATTGTAACAACTGCCCCAGTGGGTTCATGCTCTCTTCCTCCTCAGCTATTAGAAGCTATTTTCAAGAAACAGCCTAAAGTCATTCCCCCACTGAGATCAAAATTCCTGAGAATCTGTTACTTTCCCCAGGGTGCAGCATTTTAATACACAACAGAAGTCACTGAGTTATGGAATGTTAGAGATAGAAGGGACTGTACAGAATATTTATCTTTAGCCAAGGAAATGATGCTGAGGTTGTCTAATCACAGGCATTAAACCAGACTGAGGGGACTCTATCTTGCTGGTGGCCAACCCTATCATGTAAATAGCCAATTATCTATGGAAGATAGAGCTGGTAGCAGTTCACATACAAAGGACCTGGGGGTGTTAGCAGACTGAGCTAAATGAGACTGCATTAATTAAACTCTAGTATCCAGAAGCCCAGAGACAGTACTGCTCTGGTCAGATGATGGCTAGAGGCCTGTGCTCAATTCTGGATGACAAATTATAATCCAGACAAGGAGAAACCAAGAGAGGCTAGGAGGGTGACCATAATATTATGGGACTATGTACAGATGGATGGAGCACCATCCCTGCTTGCCCTCATGGAGCCTGCTTTTTCATAGGAGAGCCCCTGCCCCGGTGCAGAGTCTGGAAGAAAAGCAGTATCTGGATAACATTCCAGCCCTGGGGAACCGAGTGATCACACAAAAATATGAAGGTGGGAGTTTGTAAGATAAACAAGTTTGCCTGGAGCACAGAGATATATAAGGGCAATAAAACTGTGGCTCCTTGATCACGATCTGGAAGCAACCTCAGTGTTCACTTCCATTTCATTAAACCCACCTCATTTTATAAATGAGGAAACTGAGGCTGCTCAGGGCAATAGAATGATTTGCCCAAAGTCACATGAGTAGTACATAGTAGAGTCCAGACTGGAACTCAGGCCCAGTGCCCTTTTTCTAGCACTACATGGCCCCATCGGAAAGTAGATCAGAGATCACTGGGGGGGCGGGAGGCCTCACTTGTCTCAAGGAGCCCCTGACAAATTTTGAACAGGGAGCAATATGAAGAATTAGGTTGGATGAGTCTGAGCAGAAGACTGGGTAGGAGACTGTTCCCAGAGAGAGGCAATGAAAGCCTGAACCCAAAGTGGCTGCAATGGAGGCAGAAAAACAGACCTCTCCCCCTTCTGCCTCTGGGACAAATTGAGGAATTGATGGTATGGTTGGCCTGGCCAGGGGGGAGGAGGAAGCTCTAACAGGAAGCAGCTCAACTATTTCCTTCATTACATAGAGGCCTAAGGGCTCAAATGGGCTGAGAGAGTGGGCCTGGCTCCTTCTACCTGTAAATGGCAGCACCATGTCTTCCACTTAACTTGGCCCAAGGCCTGAAGTCACCTGCCCAGGGACACAGCCATTGTGGGTCTTCCTAGCCCCAAGGCTCCTTTCTGATGGCCAGGCCACTGTTTCTAGTGGCCTCTAAAGCAGTACCCAGTCTTGTAGCTGATAACACCCAAAATCAGAACTGCTAAGAAGGGGCCTAAACATCCTAGGATCACAGATTTGGAGCCAGGAGGGCCCCAGAACTAATCAAGGGACATCCATTCATTTCACAGATGCCAAGAGAAGCATGTCTGGGGTCCCACAGCTAAGAGGGCCTCTGCCTCCAAGTCCAGGGCAAACAAATCGCGTGTTAGGAAGACTGCTGAGCCCTGTGAAGGCCCTAATCTGGCCACAGGCAAAGGGAGCAGGCACAGCCCTTGCTGAGACATATCCCTTTACCAGTCACAGTGATTCAGCAACATTGCCAGCTGTGTCCAGGGCCAGTTCACTCGTGGGTATGTCCTTCACTCTATCAAATGTCAGGAAACCCAGTGGGACATTCTCTTTTCTCAAGAAAGAGCAGGTTCAGGGTCTGGGAACAGCCTGGACAGGCAGGAAAACCCCAATCCCGTGGACTGGCACACTCAGTAATGGCTTTGCCTCAATTCTCTGGAAAAGCCTCAATTAACCCCAGTCCATTACCTAAGAATCCTCTTATCTGAAGTCAGCTCCAGTACCACCAGCTAGCTATCTCTTGCTTAACAGTGGCCCTGATAATAAGCAATGAGTGCCTTTTCCAGATGGAGAGGGGCTTAAGGAGGCAGCCAGATATGGCTCTGGCTTGGGTCAGTGTTCACTCGGGCTCTGCACTTGCTCAGACACACTGGCAGACAGCTGTCTCTGCCCCCATTCCCAGGACCTGGGCTCACCCAAAAAACAGAGCTGAGAAAGAAGAGAAAGCGGCCTTATCTGAACTCAGTTACCCTGAAATGCTGTGTGGAAACATCTTGCCAGCAGGCCCCTGGGCCCCAAGGCCCCTACCATCGGCACCAATGGCGGTCTCTACCAGAGGGTCCTGCTACATGGAACTCCTGGGCGTGGCTGCCTTTCCTGTGAGCCCTCAGCCCCCAGTGCCTTACCTGGAGGCATTCACTCACTCACTGAGCACAGAGAAGTAACTCTCAGGGACAGAGTCTGCCCAGGGCAATTGCTAAGGGTCAAGATGTACGGAGGAATTCCTGTCTGAGCTTGAATCTGCCTCTGGGGCCAGGTGCAATCCAGGTCTGGCCAGTTGCCACCATTTTGTGCAATGTCCCACTTCGAAAAGATCATTTATTAGACACACCTTTCCCAGCAGTTCCTTTAAATGTCAATCCTAAAGTCACTTCCTAAGACTCTGGAGAATGATGACCTGAGTCCTCTGGGTCAATGTCAAATAAAAGCACTGTTCTAGCCATGAAGCACTTGGCGATGTCACCTAACAACAGCAGAAAGTTGAGGACTCAATAAATACTGGTTGGTGGCAAACAAAGGGCCCTTCACACATGAGCGCAAATCGGTGTCAGCATCCTGAAACTCACCTCGCCCCCTACACTGACCAATTTAACAGACAGATCTGTGCTCTCCATTGAGCACCTACTATGTGATGGTCACAGTATTTTCTGTGCCCATACACAACCCACTGATCGCCAGGTTCAGATACCAGTTTTAGGCTTGTTAGCTCAGTGGGTAGGACACTACAGAGCAGCTGAGTGACAAAAGTACTGAACTGGGAGTCCATGGGCCAGGCCCAAGTCTCCTGGCTCTTCTATTTGCTATCTGTGCACCTTTGGGTCTGATCTCTTTGGGTCTCAGTTTCTCCACTGGTAAAATGAAGGGGACTGGATTAGATAAAAGCTATGGTCCCTTTCCAGCCCCAATCCTCCTGCGTGCCAGGGATACAAATGTCAAGAAGGAAAGAAGCTCTTCTCCCGAAGGATTTCGACCAAGGGCTAAAGGTTCATCCCCATGTGAAATGTCAATGTTTTATCTAACCAACCAGCCATGATCAGTCACTTTTCCAAGGCATGGCATTGGACAAGTGGAACTCCATGACACAGTGTAAATGTAAGAACAAGTTGAGAACTTTGCACACCCAAGTGCAGGTGAAGTTGAATGGCTTCAGGAAGCCCATCCCCACAGCTAAAGAAACAAAGAACTCTGGCATGGATGAGTGGGCAAGCAGTGGCATCATTTCTGTGTGCATAGCACCTGGGCTCCCTCTAGACTTGCGCCCTGCTCCTGCATCCCCTAGGCCACATTTAATTTGGGAGAGTTGAGCCCTTGAACTATCAGTGGTGAGTCATTCATTCCTCCCTCCACCGCAGATCAGCAACTCCAGTCTTGGAGAGTTGCCTGAGACAGTGAGAAGGGTGATCACACAGCTAATGGACATCAGAGGCAGAACTGCCTTCGAGGCCAGCCCTGTTTTCTGTAACACCCTGCCTTTTCTGGGCTGGAGGGAATCATAACTCATTAAGGCATTCCAAGGCACCCCATGCAACCATTTATTCACTCAGTGACTAGTTAATTAGTGCCTACTCTATATGCAAGGCCCCACGCTAGGCACTGTAAGTAGATACCTAACCTCTCTGGGCCTCAGTTTCCTTCTCTGCAAAATGAAAGAGTTGGCTTTGATGGCCTTTTAAGTTAAGAGGGGAGTGACTTGCCCAAGGTCACATGGTTAGTAAACAGCAGAACCAGTATTTGAACCCAGTTCTGATTCTAGATGCTCTTTCCAAAAAGAGGCCAAAGGATCATGAGTCTTGGATTGCAGTTTGTTTTTTTTTTAATAGATTTTTCCCACTGTGAAGCTGGAGCAGACAGCTTCCCTGGTCCCCATGTTCCCCATGCTCTTGAGGGCTAAAGTATGGGAAAATGTGCTATTTTTCTCTTGGTTGACAAGAGACAGCTAATGATGCTTCACCATCCCGAAGATGGTGGCCTTTGCCTATTCCTGGCAATGCAGCCGTGATCTGCAGTCACTTCCAACAGACACCATCCAAGGAAGAGATTATCAGTTACTGATGTCAGATGGCCAGGGATTTCACCTCTACTCTACAGGCAGGAAACGGTGAAGCTCACAATGGAGATCACCAGGTGTACTCAGCAGTCTTCCCCAACCAAGAGAGCCACAAGCTCTGTCACTCTGGACAGAGGGCTAATGTTGCTGTCAGTCTAGCATGGGACACCAGCTAGGGAGTATTTGGCCTCACAGAGGACTCAGGGGAGTTTGGGAGCCTCAGGAAAAGGGGAGAGGAAAGGAAAGGAAAAGAAAGGAAAGGAAAGGAGAGAATTTTGACCCGTTCACCCCAGAAAGAAAAGAGACTAGTGCCTCTTACCTGGCTTTGTCGAAGTATTTGCCTGTGTAGGCCATTCCACAAGCTGCTCCAAGCCCTTGACCCAGGGAGCCGGTAGCCACGTCTGTAAAGGCTTGTTTCTACAATTAGAAAAAGCAACAGCAGTAAGAAGAGGTGGAGGCAGTGCGGTGCATTGAGAGGGGCACTGGGCCTCAATGCGTTTTGGTTGGAGTAGAATGCCTGCAGGGTTCCCTTCTTAGATCAGGACACAATGCCTGGCTCTGCCCCTACTTACCCACCGCTGCCATGGTCTATGCCTATCACTTCTCAAGTCCATCAACTTCCATTCAACTCAGGAAGCAGCTGAAGATCCAAGCATGGGCACCACCCCTATCACACCCCATCTAATCAGGCAAGTCACCTACATGCTGAAACAGACTAAAGGGGACCCAAGGAGTGCTCAAGGGTCCACGTCATCATCCTGCCTCATCTATGAGGAGCCACATGGCATTTGGCCTTTGTTTTTGTCCAAATTCACCAACAGAGAAACTGTGAGTGAAGGAGCCTCGTAATGACTCTGACTTCTCATCATCATAGAGAGTGAAGTGACTTGCCCAGAGTTACAGCCAGAGTGTGTCATTGGGACTGGAGCCCAATTCTTCCTAACTCCAAAGCTAGCTCCCTAATCCACTAGGCCATTTGAGAGAAATTCTCTCTCTCTCTCTCTCTCTCTCTCTCTCTCTCTCTCTCTCTCTCTCTCTCTCTCTCTCTCTCTCTCTTTTGGCTAGGCAGTGGGGTTAAGTGACTTGCCCAGGGTCACACAGCTAGTAAGTCTTATGTGTCTGAGGCCAGATTTGAACTCAGGTCCTCCTGAATCCAGGGCCAGTGCTCTATCCACTGCACCACCTAGCTGCCCCTCGAGAGAAATTCTTAAATGAGACAAGGATAGTCAGTCACCTGAAAAAGGTGCATCCGCTGGTCTAATATGGATGTAAGTCAAAGTTTTACAATAGGGTCAGAAAGGATGGAACTTGGCTCCCTTCAGGGCAAGGCATTAGTTTCTGCCTGTGACACTACTGTCACCACGGCATGGCTGCTCCCCCCAAAAAAAACTACACCCCATAGAACATGAACTTAGTGAGGGCACAGCCTGATTGTCATTGTCTTTGGGTCCTGCATATTTGTTGTTCAATCATATGAGACTCTTTTCTTAGCAAAGATCCAGGAGTGGTATGCCATTTCCTTCCCCAGCTCATTTTACAGATGAGGAAACTGAGGCAAACAAGGTTAAGTGACTTGCCCAGGGTCACACAGCTAGGAAATGTGTGAGGCCACATTTGAACTCACGAAGTTGAGTCTTCCTGGTTCCCAGCCCAGTGTTCAATCCATTCCCCCCCTCCCCCGGTGCCTATAGTGGATGTTTACTGGATTGGATGGAATGAAGTAGAGTAGACCATCTCCTAAGCAGAGACTCAAAGGATGGCTTGGTCCAAGGTCCCATCTCTTATTTCACATGTGCTTGTGGTGGGTAGAGTTGCCCCATGGGGACTTGGCATGGATAACAAATCGCAGGCTTTGTTCTCTAATATTCAAATACTCTCCAAATGGGTTTGTGCTCTGAAAAGGACAAGATGATTTCCAGAGAAGCCAGTAAGCCAGGAATCCAAGCATCTGGAGTTCCATGCAGGAGCAGCAGGTAACAGACAAAGGTCCCCTGGCCTAGGCTCCATTGAAAATCTCCACCTGGGCTAGTTTTCTGCTCCCCAACTTTTGGAACTGCACAGTGAAACTTTCTCATTTCCCAAGAAAAAAAGGCTCGGGCGGGAAGGAGCCTGAGACATCTTGGAGCTCCACCAACCTCTTTTTGCAAATATAAAGAAATTTGGTTGTTTGCCCAAGATCCTACAGGTCAGTGAGAAGCAGAGGCAGGATTTGAACCTGGGTCTTGTGACTCCAAATCCAGCACTCTCTCTAGTGAAATATGCCTTCTCTATGATGACCGGATGACAATGGGGAATCAAGGATCACAGACAGACTGGGAGGGACATTAGGGGCCCTAAGCATGGTTCATTCTCATTTTATGGGAAACAGAGATAGCTTGGCAGAAAGGGTAAGATTAGAATCCTTGGTGGGGCCAGGGCTGCAGGAAAAGGAGAGACATCAAAACGCTGGAGTCTGAATTTTCCTCCTTTTCCTTTAAGAGCTAAGACCCAGCCTGACATAGCCAGTGGTCATGGGTAATTGCCTTCAAGCCAACATCATGCCTTCTGGTGCCAGTTTCAGAATAAAGTCAGGGCTATCCTTTTCAGGTCAGAGTCTGACCCTCCATCCAGACTCACACCATTTTCAAAATGAAATCCCTGTGTCTGTCCTGTTCTCTAATACTCAAATACTCTCCAAATGGGTTTGTGCTCTGAAAAGGACAAGATGGTTTCCTAATCCTAACCCCAAATTGGCTGGCTTCACTTGTCTGTGTAAGGAGTCCAGACAGGGCAACCCCAGAGTGCACCTTGGGAAAAAGTCACTGGGCTGCTCATTCCCCCTCTACCCCACCACCACCCACCCTGCCCTACACTTACAGGGACTGGGTGGCCATCTAAAATGGAGGTGATCTTCCTCAAGTTCAACAGCTCAGCCTCTGGCAGGAAGCCAGCCTCAGCCCAGACTGCATAGAGGATAGGAGCAGCGTGACCCTGGGAGGAACAAGAATAAATTAGCAAAAGAGTGGGAGCGGGAGAAGGAGAAGGAGGAGGAGGAGGAGGAGGAGAGGAGGATGGAGAGATGGGTAAGCTGGAATGGATACCGGAACATGGGGGGAGCGACACTGACCCTCTGCCTTGAGGCAGCTGTTTCTTACCTTGGAGAGCACAAAGCGGTCATTGCTGGGGTCCCTGGGGTCCTGGGGTTTGTACTTCATGGTGTGAAAGAAGAGGACCGCCATAATCTCTGCTGCACTGCAGCAGGATGTGGGGTGGCTGCAGGCCAAGAAGACACCCAGAGGTCAGTGAGGGGCCAATGCTCCCAACAGCCCAACTCAGAGTCCAAACCTAGCGGCCCAGTTATCCTTTGAAAGACTCAAACCTTCTTGTTACCTTGCCCCCAAGGAGCTCTTTGAACCATGGCCTGAGGTTGATGGAGGCCCGCTGACAGGGTTTGTTGGGGGGAGCTAGAATGACTCTCAAAAGACACAGTGGGAACTCAACTGTCCAAAGATGGCTAGCTAAAAACATCCTACTCGACCCATTTGCTGCCCCCAAGTTGGGGCTCTACCATCCAGAGCCTTAGAAGAGATGCCCTGAGAGCTAAGGGCTCTGTCAAATTTGTAAGAAAAAGAAGGATATCAAGAGCTGAGATTGTACCCTACTCCCTTCTTTGCAGAGGTGGAGGACTACGGGTGAAGAACATAGCATATACTGTGAGACTTGGTTTTGTTGAAAATAATAGTTATCTCTCTTTTTTATTCTTTATTAAATGGACTGGCTCTGGTAAATAGAGCTAGAGTGAAAAATACAGATGATGTAAAAACAGAAGATATCAATAAAATTTTTTTCATTTTTCTTTTTTTATTTATTTTTAGTTTTCAACATTCACTTCCACAAGGTTTTGAGTTCCAAATTTTCTCCCCATCTCATCCCTCCCTCCACCCCAAGATGGCATGCATTCTGTATACCCCTTCCCCTAATCTGCCCTCCCTTCTATCTCTCCCCTTTTAAAAAAGATAAGAGAGAGAGAAGTGACATAGGATTACACCTGCCTCCTTTCTTTACAGGTGGGAGACTATGGATGTAGTGCACTGTACTTGTCACACTCCATTAATGTGGTGGTAAAAAAATTTTTTTCTCTTTTATTACAAGGGATGGTTCCCCGTGGGTGGCTGGGGAGGGCTAGAATGAGAGAGGGATCAGCAAGAAATGAGAGTGGTGTTCTTCCTTATAACATCACTAATGTTTTTAACAAACTAATATGTTTAATAGGAAAAAAAGAAATGAGAGTGATGCAAAAACAAAAGAAATCAATAAAACAATTTTTTAAAGGAAGGTTGTTGGGATTTTCCCACTTGGGGATCACCCAATGGACAGAATGGTGAGAGTCCTAAGGGAATTTCCTCCACCATCAGGCTGTGCAGTTCCTCACAGGACTTGAAGGACATACTGCTGAGCCAGGAAGGGAGGATCTCAAATAAATGTCCATCTTGGAATCTAGCCCATAAAACAGTCAATTGTCATCAAGAGAACACTATTCTAAATCTTTCTAGATTTTCTTTCTAGTCTAACCCTCACTTTGGCAGGGAGGCGTTACCAGGAAGCAGCTGCAAGAGGAAAAAGGCAGAGTTTCCATAAAGAGCCTGAGTCTTTGTAACTTCCCAAGATTCTCCAGTCCAAGGTCCCCTGGATCCACAGGAGAACTGAGTCCCAGATACAATGGACAGCAACCTGAACTGAAACGGTGCTTTGGATTCTCCAAGTTTTTCTCATTGTTTTGTCTTCAGCATAGGCTAGTCACAAGAGTACTGCCTCTAATACAGTGTTTCCCCAATGTACCCCCAAGATTTCTGCTCAAGCTCAGAATAACACCCCAGTTTGAAATAAATCCTGGGGGCATGGTTTCAACAGATCGTCACTTTGCTGCTTCTGTGAGAGCCATTCTTGAGTAAGACCCAAAGCCTTGTTTGCCACATGTGAACAATTTGCTCCTGAACACACCCCACAGCACAAAGGGGCCCATTCTCCATGCATGTTAGCGCTTGGCTAGCTGGCCCACTGGGCCACTGGGCAAAAATGTTACTCGTTACCTTCTAACATACATAACAGCTTCCATATCTGGGGGAAGTGCCGCCTACTTTCTTCCCAAGCATATAACAGCTTCCATATCTGGAGGCTGTGAACCTTCACTTTCTCTCTGTGGTGTGTCCTCACCACAGGAGCTCCACAACATAGGAGACAAGTTTACTACTAATAGTTCAAACAGGTATTAGTGGGCGTAACACTGTCATAAGAGTTAATACACAAAACCCAAGCACATGCATGTTTAATGCTGCCATTCCTAGGGCCTCAACCACTTTATACTTAACCATTTTCTATGAATTCCTGTTCTTGGGGGAAAACAGACAACCTGAAAGAGCAAACAGGTGTTCCAGTGAAATTACTCTGTGATTCTATGGGTAATTTTCTCAAATTATACACCCCCCCACCCCACCCCACCCCACACACACACAAGGAGAACACCCCACACCTTGAGGAGTAAAGTCCTTCAACTCCAGTGAATTCCCTTCAAACCAGGCTCAGACTTTTAGGAAATTCACCTCAGCAAAGCAGCTAGACACTTTATAACGATGTGTGTGGGCCCCATTTATAACAGATATATGTGTGGGTCCCACAGAGGCATGATTTAACATACAATGTAACCCTTTCAATGGCAGGGCTGAAATGGGCCATAGAATCCTAGACCTAGAGTTGGGAATCTCAGAAAGTCATCTGGTCTGATCTTCATTTTATAGTGGAAGAAACAGGCCAAGAGAGGTAAAGTGACCTGTCTAGGGTCACACAGCAGCAGTAAGTTTCCAAGGCTGGAGTTGAACCTCATTCCTGACTCTGAAAACAATGTTCTTGCCACTGGTTCTAGTGGTCCCACGAGTCTAACCCTAAACTGATGCTGTCTCTTATACCCACCTCCCTGGGTTCCAGTCCCTGGTCCAACGAAGCCCTTGGATGGACCACAGCTTCCGTACCTGGCACAGAAGAGGCAGTGATATGTAGTGGAAAAAAGAAGCACCAGAGAGACTTGGGTTCAAATCCCACCTTAGACTCTTACAAGTTGTGAGACTCTGGATAAGTCCCCTAACCTCTCAGCCTGTTTCCTCATTTAAATGAGGACAGTAATGCCTAGGGTGGTTGGGGGGCTCAGATGAGATGTGTGTAAAGCCCTTCGCAGACCTTTAAACACTAAGAAAGGTCAGCTCATTTGAAGGGGTGATCTCTCCATTTCCCTCTGGCCCAATAGTCCATGTTTCTCCATGAAGACAGCCAAGCTTCACTTTGGGGTTTCTTGGGATCCCTGGGCTCAGAGCACACAAAGGAACAATTCTCAGAGAGATGTGCCAGCTGCCTCCCAGTGTGGGAAGCCCTCCAGGATGCCTTGTTCTCCTTGGGCCCAGAAGGCAGATCAGGAACAGTGGATGATGGAGGGCAATTTAAGCTCAATATCAAAGGAAACTACCTTACAATGAAGAGCTGTCTCCAACTGGAACAGGATGCTTTGAGACCCAGTGGGCTCCACCTCACTGACCACCTTCAAGCAGAGGCCGAAGAAGCACTTGGTGTAGGGGGCTAGAGGAGGGACTAGATGCACCCTGAGGACCTTTCCAACTCTGAGTCTTTGAACTTGGCAGCATCCCAGTGAAGAATTTTAAATATCCTGAAAATTCTCCAAGGGGAAATGGAGAGAGAGTGAGGCCTTTCCCTCACCCACTAGCCCAAGGGCATTCACTATGAGCCAATCAGCTGCAAAGCCCCCAGTGGGAAAGACCATTGATGGAGAGCTGAAAGGGCCCCTGAGGCCAGAGACCAACCTCCTTCATTTTATAGGAGATCCAAGCGATTTAGGCAAAGCCCTTAAGTGTCTGAGGTAGCATTTGAACTCAAATCTATCAAGACCAGAGTGCAAGGGTCAATCCACTGCACCACCTGGCACGTGCCTTCCCCTTCTCAAAGCCAGCAAAGAGAAAACTGCGGCAAATAAGCCACTATGAGACACACTAAACCTATGTGTTTATTTGCAGAACAGGAGGACACAGATTGCTCTCCCTCATGTATCAGACACATGTGATGAGAGAGTGGTCCAGGAGAGGACACATATGCCAGTGGGTTACAGATTTTAAAATTTAGTGATGTAAATAAGTGAACAAAATTCCTTGTTTCTGGGCTGGTATATGGAGGGGCTCCCATCTCTGAATCCACTTTCTCCCTTTCCAAATCGGTGGACATAGCTTTTATGAACAACAGCCTTTCCTCGGAAATTGTCCAGATGTCTCTAATCCATCCTGGCCCAAGTTTACCCTAAAAAGCACGCTGAGTGTGAGAAGGCTGGCCCACTGGGAAGGACCACCTGTAGCCATCAGAACCAGGAAGTTCCTGATGAGAGGTGCTTGGAACACCAAACAAGAGGGGAGAGGAACCCACCTCTATCAAGCACAGGAGGGAATCTCTGAGCTTCAAGCGACCTTAGAAATTGTTGAGTCAAACCCTTTCCTTCAGATTTGGAGCAAAGAGACCCACCCAAGACCATTCAGCCAGTTGGTGGCAGAAGGAACTACCTTATTACTTCAAAAGCCTGGCAGAAATTACCCCAGAGCTCAAAGGAGGAAACTCAGACCAGTTAGCCCACATAGCACTTGCAGAAGGTATTGCATTGGTGTCTGTTCTGCAAATCCAGCCCCATTCTCTTGAGCAAGAAGGAAACAGAGGAAACTCTTGGTATCTGGCCCAATCAGGAAAGGGTTGAGAGGGCTCCAGCACACCACCCAAGAGAGGCTTATCAGATTGCTGACACATGACCCCAGTTTTCAAAGGATTAGAATATGAAACTCTCAGCATTAAAGCTTTCCCCAAAACAGTGGAGGTCACAGACCCATACTCAGCATCTCACAGTTAGGGCTAGAAGGGACCTAGTCCAATGACCCAATTTGGCAAAGGAGGAAACTGCGGCACACAAAAGGCCATGTACTCAAAAGCTAGTAAACTGCTTCCCAGTTTGGGAAGACTGGGGGAGGGGCTTCTGGCCCCAAAATACTTTCTCTTGGGAATCATTCTCTACCATTCCTCCTCTGAAGGCACAGGGTCCCATCAGCACCACCTACCATATTCAGACCCAGTGTTTCCTGAGCTCCTGGGAGATAAGAAGGTGGCCATAAGCAGTTTCAGCTCCTAGGGGAACAAGGCCTCCAGAAGGGGCATGCCACGAAAGGGGGTGGGCTTTGATGTTTTATTTCCTGCTTTTCTCCCATGGTCCTCTTCCACTTCATCATGGAAGCATAGCCGGATGGCATCAAATTATTCCCTCATTTTACAGATGAGGAAACTGAGGCCCAGAGTAGTAGAGTGAATTGCTTAAAGTCACAGATGATTTCAAGTCCTCTGAAGATCCTACATACTTTCGACTGTTGAAGGCTGCCTTGGTGCCACTTGGAAAATTGAAGACCATGTGTGACAGATGATGAAACTAAGGCCCAGGAAATGACCCAGTCAAGGTTACACAAGTAGAACAGAGAGGTAGGATTTGGACTGAGTTCCTCTAACTCCTCGGTCAGTGACTGCTTTCCCTCCCTGCTCCCTCTGGATATATCTGTGCCCCAGGCTATCCCCTGGATAGCAGGAAAGTTCCTCCTGTTTATATGGGACTCAGTGCCAGGGAGCTGGTGAGAAGAAGCAGCAAAACCCTGGATCTGGACTCTGACCCCGTGCAGGGCAGTCACAGTATAAAGGAAAGCCTCCATGCTTTGGAGCTGTGATGACTGCAGATGGGTTCATGCCAACTGCTCATCCCAGTGGAAGGTGCAAGCTGGATGATCAGCATTCCCTAACACTGCTCGCTCGGTCAGTTCAGCAAGGTCTGGCCAATGGCTATCTGGACAGATAACCAAGTCACTCTCCAGCTACGTGCTCCAGACACACCAAAAGAGATGAGCCCTCACCTCTTTGGGGGAAATCTTGGCAAGTTCACCCTTCCCTCACTTTGATTAAGCCAGGAAGCTGGGGTCTTGTGTAAGCCTCGGAAATAACAAAAAGTTCAGCAAGACAGAGTTAAGTGGAGAATGAGGGAGTTATAGAATCACTGGTAAGTGCCTTAGAAACACCTAGCTCAGCCTCCCTTATTTTATTTCACAGATCAGTAAACTGAGGCTCATAGCCATTTAAGAAGAACCAGGACTCCTTACTTCATCTAATATTAGTTATTCCTACAACTCCATCCTCCGTCCTAGCTTCAAGGATATTATATCCACAGAGCAGAATTGGAGCTGATCCCAAATTAACTTGTTCTGGCTTCTTAAAAGACTATCTTACCATCCTGTGAGCAATCAGGATCCTCCTTGAGTTCCATGGTTATTCTTTGAAATCAAAGGAATTTGAGCAGGGAGCCAGCCCTAACAACTGGAGATGAGAGAAAGCTGCCCGTAGACAGGCCCTGAGCTGAGTCTTGAAGGAAACTGGAGATGCTAAGATATGGAGGTAAAGAGGTTGCATGGACGATCCAGGACAAACTGGCCTGGACAGCTTTTGCTGTCCTCTGTGAGTTAATTGCTTAGACACAACCACAGCCTACTTTGATGACTTCTGGGGCTTGAGCCATGTAGAAACTAAGCTGGTAATTTTCTCAACAGCCGTTTCTAGAGATTTTGTACATGTGTGTGTGTGAAACATCTGAAAAATGGCCTTCCTTCTCTCCTTCAGAGAAGTCCACAAAAATTCTTGGGTCTCTCCCCATCTCTCCTCTCTGCCCCCCCCCACCCCATTATGAACACAGTGGGGGAAACAAGAATGAATAAGGCACAATCTGATTTCATTAACTTTGAAACTCAAGGAAGGAGACTGGATGGGAAATGATATGTCCAGATGCCGTATCTCCAAAACGCCAATCCAAGGAGCATTTATTAAGCGTCTTCTATATGCAAAGTAAGAGACTGCTGCTGAGTGGGGAGAGTCCGGACTTGGGGTCAAGCCCTGCTGCTAGCATACACTGACAGGGAGAAACTGGTTAGTCACTGAATCAAGCTTAGTGCTTCAAATAACTCCCAGACCAGTAATTGGAGAAAAGTTGCCAGTCTCCATTAGTGAAAGGAGCTTCTACCTCCCCACCCCCACTGAA